ATGTACACGTACAGGCATGCACACTTGAAAATACAAAAATACTATTTTTGGAGGCTATCAAGTTTAGGCGGGCCTCAAACTTGTGATATTCCTGCTTTACCCTCCCAGGGGGCTGGGACTATTGGCCCGGGCCATCTCACTTGGCAAATCAGTTATTTGTAGAGTAGACTCATGAATATATCCCTGTGGTACCTCTGAAGCTCCACACGGGCCCAGTTCTCTGGATGCTGGTGAGAAACAGGTACATGTCTTTCATCCCTTCCATCAAACTTGGCTTCTCTCCTGGCTGGCCCGTCATATGCAGTTATTTTTAAATTCAAAGTCCTTTTGTTTCAACCTCTATCCAGCCTTCCCTTGAGGGAGACATGGAGCAGCTATCAGCATTTCACAGTTGGAAACTGACCCCGGAGAGTTCATGTGTTAATGGGTGGGTGAATTGGGAGTACATCATTTGTGGGGGAGACTCCTAAGCCAAAGCTCCATGCTTGACACCTTTCCTGGAGTCAGACCCTCATAAGTGGCCTACCCACAAGATGCTTCCCTCTTGAGGTCTTGCAGGTACCTCCACATTCTGTTTTTTTAAAAATGTGTGCACCACATGCATCCCTGGTGTCCTTGGAACTTAAAAAGAGGGTTTTAGATCCTCTGGAACTATAGTTCCAGACAGCTGCCATGTCGCTGCTGGGAACGGAACCTGGATCCTCCTGGAGAACAAATGTTCTGGACCGCCGAGTCACCTATCCAGCCCCACCCTCCACCTTCTGGCAAATGGCTCATCGGCCTAATCCTGACTCCTCTCTCAGCTTTGCAGGGCCATGGAGAGCAACCACACCACTGTTACCCAATCACAAGTCTGGTTTCACCCTAAGTGACTGACAACCTAGCTACCCTCCAAGTCACATGCTCCAGGAGCTTTTCTACAGGGCATTTACCCACCAACCCCACAGCTCCCCAGAGTTTTCTTGAGTGTGAGCAGCAGGAAATATTAGATAGACGGATTTATAGCGGAGAATCTTGTGGAGATAAACAGATAGAAAATAAAGGATAGCCTCGAGAGGGCCTGGAACCTATTCCAACGGGCTCCGACTGTCTCTGGCCCAGGGTTTTTATAGAGACGACAAGGGATGGAGCAAAAGACCTCTCCCCCCCAGCACAGCCAAGTGCAGACCATCTCAGACCCCTGCACTCAGGCCCGTGGTCCTGATCATCCTCTATGTGGACCTGCTGGGTAAAGCCACGAGGAACCCAAGAACGGGCTCCCATACTTTTCCCTTTTCTAGTCCAATGACTCTGTGACCTCACCTTCTCCTAAACCTGCTAATTGCCTTCTAGCTCTGCAGCCTGATTCAGGCTTCTAGGAGGACTGAAGACTCACTGTGGATCCCTCTGAAGCCCACTCATGCATCTTAAGAAAGCTGGCCGTTCAAAAATGTAGGGCTGGGCTCTGGGAGTGCAGGCCATGGTACAGTGCTTGGCTGGTATACGCATAAGGTGATGGGTTCCAACCTTAGCACTGAAAAAAGTACGTATAATTAATGTAGAGTTTATTACAGTATTTTCCTACTTAAAGCCCTCAGTGGCTCCTAATTAATATTGCTGTCCTAACTTCTTTTTTCATTCAATAACTATATTTATGATATTCATTAATTACACTAATTGTGTTGATTTATCACATTCATGATATTATGTCCTGATACTACTGTCCGTTTGTGGGGCTTTTCCATCACACAAACCAGAAATTCTGTACTTAGAAAAGCATTGCTCTATATTCCTTTCTGTCCTAACTTCTTACTGGGGATTAGAGGGTCCTATTTCTCCCCCCACCAGGCTGCCTGTGTTTGGCACTTAAAAAAAAAAAGACTTATTTATGTACTTTCTGCATATGAATGTTTTATCTGTACATTTGCACACCAGAAGAGGGCATCCGATTCCAGATTCCACAATTATAGATGGTTATGAGCCACCATGTGGGTGCTGGGAATTGAACTCAGGACCTCTGGGAGAGCAGCTAGTGCTTTTAATTGCTGAGCCATCTCTCTAGCCCCAATGTTTGGCACTTTCTGTTGTAATTTTTATGGATTAAATTTATTGTGGCTAGGCCACTTAGATTTCCCCCTTACGTCCATCTGGTAAGATATCTTCTGGGAAACAGTAATTTCAAATTTATTGCCACAGAGTTGCTCATGGTACTTATTTTTTAAGCTGCTGATTGCCGGTAATTTTGTGTATTTAAAAATTCCTAATATCGGGGGTGGGGGATGGAGGTCAATTGGTAGAGTGCTTGGCTAGCATGCATGAAGCTACAGGTTCAGTCCCTGGCACTATATAAAACTAGGTATGATGGCCCATGCCTGTGACCCCAAGTTTCTTTAAATTTGTGTTACTTTCTGTGGGTCTGTGTGCTCACAGAACCTGTATGTGGGTGTCAAAGGAAAATCTTGGGTGTGAGCCCTTGCCACCCTGGGATAGGGTCTCTTCTGTTCATTGCTACATATGCAGAGAGAACTGGCCCCTGAGCTTTGCAGGATTCTTCTGTCTCCACCCCACAACCCCCTGTGGAGACTCGTCTGGAATTAGAGTTTCTTCTACTATTGTGCTCTGAGGATGCAAACTCCAACTCAGGTTGTCGGGCCTGTGTGGCGAGCGCTGTATCCACTAAGCCACCTCCCTAGTCCTGTGATTTTTCTCCCCGACTCCTTCTAATCTGTTGAGGCAGGTGCTTAGCAAATTGTCAGCCTGTCTTCTGCAAGTAAGAACAGAACTTTCTATTTACTCATTTATTTGAGATGTGGTCTCTCTAAATAGCTCTGGCTGTTCTAGAACTCATGTCCAGCCTAAGGATGGAAGTTTCTTAATTTCCCTCTAGTTTTGTCCCTTTTCATGGTGCTGGGAACCAAATCCAGGACACCACGCATATCAATGTTGTCAGTGAGCTTCCCACTGCCTCCGTATGTGGAACACCCAAGATTATATTCAGTTCTGAGCACTGGGGTATGCTTATGGCTGAACCCGGGCCTCAGGAATGCTGACCTAAATGCTACCACTGAGCGATACTCCCAATCTCAAATGTTCATCATGACTGCTTCTAAGTTACTTTCTGTGACCACTGTCTTCATGCCTTCTCTTTTGCTGGAGACAAAGTTTCATTATCTAGGCCAGGTTGGCTTTGAACTCAAAGAGGTCCTCTTGCCCCAAGCCACCTCCCACCCCCACCACCAGTTCTGGGATCACAGACATGTGCTACCACACTTGGCTCCCTACCGTAATTCAAAATCATTCCCTAATCCATGCTAGGAACCCTAGACTTCAGTTTCCAGGATGGACCCTGGTTTGTGGAGCTCTGCATGCTCAGTTTCTGCTCAGCCCTCCTGCTTCTCAATCTTTGGAGTGTCTAGGCCTGTTTAAAACGGTCTATTTAAATAGACCCACAGGTCTATTTAAAACAACAAACAAACAAACAAAGCCAAATCGCACTTCTTCTGCAGCCCTGCGGTGAATGCACAGGTTGGGTGTGAGCACTGGTGTGAGCATTGGGTGTGAGATGGCCAGCCTGCTTCTCTGGACTTCAGAATCTGCTGCTTCTTCCTGTTTTTCTCTCTAGGATGCATGCTCCTCCAAGACACGGCTCAGAAACGCCTGGTCCACAGCGGCTGATCAGTGAAGGTGACACAGAACAGCGCGAACGACACACATCTACTCATCACCATTCATGTTCTCAAGCCAGAGACCAACACACTAGTATTTTTCCCTCTCTCAACTGCAGTCGGATTCTTTCTTTATGGTTCCTTCTGCCCTGCCTTGTGCCTTCCAATCCCCGCTGGCAAGCACGAGACTGCCTGCACTGAGCCATTCTGCCAGCAGGTGGCACTGGAAGCCCGCAGCTGAGCCGGCCTCAGCCGCTGCCTGACTCTCCTGAGGCGTCTCATGGTTCCCAGGGTCTTGGTCTCTGCAAAGCTTGCAGAGGGGTGCAGAGCCATAGCACCAGCTCCTGGGGCCATGGGGTCCCCTCTTCCCTGGTGGCTGCAGCTGTTGTCCACGCCTCTCCTTTTTCCAGAGAGTGTGCTTCAGCCGTAGCTCAAAGTAGGCGGGGCACCAGAAGCAATTAAAATGACTTTTAAAAACTCGGCACATTCTCAAGTCCCCTCTGCTTAGCAACTGTCTCTAGGATCTCTCGTCTCCTTGGATCACACTGAATCCCAGGTTAAGGAAGCCCAGCCGCTCCCCTGAAGAGCGCTTCTTGTGGGCAGACGTGAAGACCCCGCTGAGGTTGAGGATGGACCTCTCCTGGAGAATGGACCACGGGAAAGGGTGAGCATGGCTTCTGGGACAAATTTAAGAAATGCTTAGACCGCGCTGATGCCTCGGGCTTAGAGCAACAGCACCTCAAAGCCCGCACTTAGACACCAGGCAGGATGGAGTGGACAGGGCGCCTAGGAGGCAGGGAGCCGCTGACTCTGTGGAGGGCGAAGCTGGCCTCCTGGGAGGGGGGTCTGGGGGAGATGCCCGCTTCTGCTTTCCTGTGCAGGTGAAGACAGAGGTCCCAGCTCTGTCACTGCCCACTAACCCCTGGTCGTGTTCTGAGGTAGGTGGAGTGCCACACTGAGGCAGACCTGGAGGTTCTGGAGAGCTGAAACAGAGGCTCATGGGAAGCAACTTCGGGGCCCACTCAGTTCAGCCTGTGTCATTCAGCAGCTGAGAGAACAGAAGGGGTGACCAGTTCGACACCACCCCGAGTGAGTGGTAGAGCTGAGTCTACCAGAGGACAATGCTGCTTTGGATGTGAGAATGCAGGTCCACCATGCAGGATGCTCAGATAGTCTGGGACTGTGTACTCCAGCCCCAAACGAAACATTGCTCCAACCTGGCTGGGACAACACCACCTTAATGTCGGAGCACCCTCACTTTTTGTCCTGTCTCAAGCTGCTTGTGATGAGGAAGCCGTGGCCTTTGGTGGGGACAAAACGAAGGGCCCAGAGGAAAGGTCGAAAAGAGAGGACACAGTGCTTTCGGGATATTTACTGCAAACTGTTATAATTAAAGTGATATTTTACGAGTGTTTTGGACAGGGGGCAGATGAGCTCTGAGCGGGGTCTGGGCTCCGCAGGCCCACAGAGAGGGGAGGAGACACTAACAGGTACTCGGCCATTGCTGCTGGGGAAGCAGAGTCCCAGAGGAGGCGTCACGGGGAGCCTGGGAGGAACACGAGGGAGCGGAGAGGACCATGAGGCAGCCCCTTTGAATCTGGAATTCTGCTGGGAGCATGAGGCTTCCCGGAGCTGCCTGTGTCTGCCACGGATCCTCTGACCAGGCCTCCTGCCAGCTCAGGGTGCCCGGGTCGCCTTCATTATCATTCATCACAGACTTCCTCTTGCCTGCCAGAGTATTTCCAAACTTGCAGCTTAGAAAAACTGCAGGAGGAGGAGGGAGAGCAGGGGATGTTCTTAATATAAATCCACAGCAATGGAGCCTGGAGGGGGGGCCCAGGGATGCTTCTCAGGCTGCCAGGTGTTGGGAGGGCTCCCTGCATTCCTTATCCACAGGGCACTTGTTAAAGGAGCAAAGGTCTCCACTTTTAAGACTTGGCCATGTTTTTTTTTTAGAACCTTTGATCTGACTGCAGACTTGGAGCCTAGCAGAACACGGACTGGTCCCGGGAAGGGCGGAGAGGAAAGCCCGTGGAGCCCAGAGGTCACTCCCAGAAAGATGGGAGGGGGCACTACTCCCAGGAAGATGGGAGGGGGCACTACTCCCAGAAAGATGGGAGGGGGCACTACTCCCAGAAAGATGGGAGGGAGCACTACTCCCAGAAAGATGGGAGGGGGCACTACTCCCAGAAAGATGGGAGGGGGCACTACTCCCAGAAGCAACAGCAGCAGCAGCATGAAGGGCCACTCCAGGGGGTCCAGGGTGCTAGGGTGTAGGAAGTGGGATGCTATTTGGGCAGAGCAAAGTCCCATGCGGTTTCTTGTGCACATTTCCACATAGCCTGCATGAGACGGGTGAAGCCCATGTCCTTGGGCTTCTCCAGACCTCTCATCAGCCGCTGCTTCATGATGGAAACAAACTCCTTATTGCTCAGCTCCCCATTGCCTGGAGGGTGAGGAAAAACAGAGGTGTAAGTAGAAACTCCGGGAGAAAACGCCACCCCTCACACCCTGCAGGCTCTGTGGCTGGCACACACTCTGCCAAGTTCAACTCTCTTGACTCAGGGTGAACTGCTCTGTCCTCCCTTGATGTTCCCAACCGCAGCCCACTGAGACCAGAGCAGAAGTCCGGTCCCTGCGTGAGAACAGCTAAGCTTTGTGTGTTGGTCCTTGGACCACTCCCGGGTTGCGGGAGAGACACACACGTGACATCAGTGGTGAGGTAACTGTTAGCACGGGGCAAACTGAGGGTGCTGTGGCGCAGGGTGGTTCGGAGAACTTCAAGCAGCAAGGTATTAGGACCCTTTGGGCTGTGGACATCTGGAAGGTGTCCCCACTGCCCTTTATCTGTCCATCCTACTCTTCCTTAGCCTTGGCCCTGGGACCTTTACTGATCTGGGTTGATACAGCCTCCCCAAGCTGGATCAGACTCTATCCTGTCCTTTAATTTTTTTGTTTTTTGTTTTTCGAGACAGGGTTTCTCTGTGTAGCTTTGTGCCTTTACTGGACCTCACTCTGTAGCCCAGGCTGGCCTCGAACTCACAAAGATCTGCCTGGCTCTGCCTCCCAAGTGCTGGGATTAAAGGCATGTGCTACCACCGCCTGGCCCTTTCCTTTAATTTTTAATTCTATGTGCATGAGTGTCTGCCTGCCTTTAATTTTTAATTCTATGTGCATGAGTGTCTGCCTGCATGGATGCGCACCACGTGCATGCCAGGTGCCCGAGGTGGTCAGGTGATGGATCTCCTGGAACTGGGGTGATGACTGTGAGCTGCTCTGTGGGTGCTGGGAACTGAACCCTGGCCCTCGGCGAGAGCAGCAAGCATACTTCCCTGCTTGAGCCCAGCCCCTTCTTCTCTCTCTTTTCTTCTTAAAGATTTATTTATTTATTTATTTATTTATTTATTTATTTATTTATTTATTTATTTATTTATTTATTTATTATGAATACAGTGTTCTGCCTGCATGTATCCCTGCAGGCCAGAAGAGGGCACCAGATCTTATTACAGATGGTTGTGAACCACCATGTGGTTGCTGGGAATTGAACCTGGGTCCTCTGGAAGAGCAGTCGGTGCTCTTAACCACTGTGCCATCTCTCCAGCCCCTCTCTCTCTTTTTAACACAAGTCCTGGCATCAACTATGTTCTGTAAGGACAGAGCCACGCCATTTTGTTTCTGGAGACATCGAAACATGTGTGTCCCCCATCTACTAGCAGCAAATTGTGTAATGTGTGTGTCTAATATTTTTGTTTATTTTCCAGGGAAAATTACATTTCTTTGGGGATCATCAGGCTTGCAATTTGGGAAAACACAGCTTCAAGCCCTCTTACAAATGTGGCTCCTGTTGGCATTTGGACAGTCACGTGGTCACTAATTTAAGCCCACAGGCAAGATGGAATTAGAGGAAATGGAAAACGTATTGGGTGTGGTGGCACACTCCTTTAACGCCAGCACTTGGGAGGGAGGCAGAGGCAGGTGGATCACTGAGTTTGAGACCAGCCTGGTCTATTTGGCGAGTCCCAGGCCAGCCAGGACCACAGAGTGACACCCCGTCTCAACAAAACAACAACAACAACAACAACAAAAACCAAACCAAAACCCAGAGAAGTGGAAGACACGAACGGGGCCCAGGGTGGCATCTTTCAAGCTCACAGTGCCAAGGGCCAAGTTGCTACACACACAACAGCCCCGCTATTCAGGGTCTAGGAATACAGCGAGGTCCGGTCTACCCTCTAACACTCCCCCCCCCCCCCCCCGCGGGACCCCACTCACCGTCGCAGTCAAAGAGTGCAAACACCACGTCACACACGTGGTCTGAGAGTTCCACCTTCGCCACCGTCCTGGCCACCTGCTGCATGGTCACTGAGAGGAGAGAGATAGCAGGTCAGGGCTGCACAGATGTCTCCATTTTTACCTTTCTCCAGACGGCGGCTCAACCACTCAAAACTCTGCAACTGTATCTGGGTCATACTTGAGAGAACGAGGTCAGCTGTGGGGGTGCACACCCGTGCTTTCAGCTGGTGAGGAAGGGGATTCAAAGCCTTTGAGGGCAGCAGGGCTACACCGTGAGAGCCCGTGCCAAAACCCAAACCAAAGTTCAAGGCCAGGTCGGGGCACTGAGGCAGTCTCAAACTGTCCAAATGGGCTGTGTGTGTGCGCCCAGAGATGGAGTGCTTGGGCAGCATGTACCAGGCCTGGGTTT